TTGCCGCCCCCCGCCTCCAACCCAGCGCGCGCATCCCCCTGCCCACCGAGCCGTTTATCCCTCCCCTTCCTAGCCGGAGCCGCTCTCACGTGCCCTCCCCCCCCCCCCACCCCTTCCTTCCCGAGCAGTCAACTCCCAGCCGCCCACGGTCGTGCCGGGCGGCGACCTCGCCAAGGTGATGCGCGCCGTCACGATGATGTCCAACACGACCTGCATCGCCGAGATCTACTCGCGCATCGACCACAAGTTCGACCTCATGTACGCCAAGCGCGCCTTCGTGCACTGGTACGTCGGCGAGGGCATGGAGGAGGGCGAGTTCTCCGAGGCGCGCGAGGACATGGCCGCCCTCGAGAAGGACTACGAGGAGGTCGGCGCCGACTCGGCCGAGGGCGACGGCGAGGAGGAGGAGTACTAGAGCTGTTCCTCCTCCTCCGCCGCGCTCGGGCGCGCGATAGCCGCAGCAGGAGGGCGCGCGCCCCGAGGCGGCCTAGGCGCGTTAGGTTTGGCACTGGTTGGGTAGTAGTCTAAGTTCTGAGCCTCGAGGCTGGACGGGTCTAAGTGTGGCTAGCCACGCTGGAGTGCTTGCGCGGTCTAAGATCAGCGGGAGCCTCTTACATCGGCTAAGTCGGCCGTGGCACGGCCTGGGGCCAGGAGGCTCCCACCGTGATCAACGATACGGCGCAGCCCCCAAATTTTCTTCGCCTGCGGAGGGCGATGGATCCTCTTCATGCTTAGCAATCGCCGCCTCAGCATCCTCCTCTTCCGATTTTCGTTGCTGCTCCTTCATTCTTGAGCGACGTCTAGCCAAACAGTTCTCACATGACACGAAGCTCCTCAAGCTTAATCAAACGCGTGACGGTGAAGCCTGTGTGTGCTGGTCCTCTTTGAACGATCCGCGCGTGAGGTAGCATAGGGCCTTGTTGGCAGCAGCCAGCTTGTTGCGCTGCTTCGTTGCGATGAGCTGATTGGGATCGCAGAAGTGCATGCCAAGCACCGCCACGATCTTGAAGCAGAACACATCGCAACCGCATCGTCCGCACTGCCATCGGCATGCCGCGCCCGCCGCTTCGCCGCAGCCGCCTTAAGGCACGCATAGCGGCAGCACATGGTGGGGGGGGTACTTGAGCAGGCGTTGCGCGCCGCAAGTAGCGCACTGGCCCTGGGAGAAGGCGATATGGCGTCGTGCGCGGCATACGCGGCATACGTTGGTGGGACGCGTCCAGGTATTTCGGGTAAACCTGGAGGCTTTTCAGGTATACCCGGGTTTTGCCCGGAGTTGGCCTTATGTCGTCTAAGTTCATGGCCCCCGACCATACAGCGTCTAAGTCCGAGCCCGGCTCCGTGTGGGGGCTAAGTTGAGCGCTCGCTCGCTGCAGAGGCTAAGTGTAGAGCGACCCTCTAGCCCTACTACCCAACCAAATTGGTTTGGCGCTTGAGAGTGACCAGTGACGGGGTCACGAAGCGTCGCAATACACATGCAAAGGCACGGCAGAGACGGCGAGTCGTGTCTCTCACAGGAGAGATAGCGCAAGTAGGAGTGCGTTTCGGGTATTTCTCTCTGCGGTTGACAAGTTGCAAAAAAAGTCTCAGGCTCTCTGCGCTCTCACCTGGATAAGCGGCTTCCTAAAACTACCAAAAACCGCGCTCGCTCACGGCCAATCCGCAATCGGCCAATATGCAATAAAAAAACTAAAAACTGACGTGAGTACAGAGTAGTGACGACAGCACCCGGGTTGTTGCACGAGTATATGGGCCACGATGTCTCAAATATGAGGGGTTTTGACTCCTACCGGCTCCTGACGCTATCCCTGGCAGCTCTAATGGCCAGGGTCAGTAGTGTTGTGATAGATGGTGCCCATACTAGCGCAGGAGCTGCCACACTCGCCCGGACCGTCCCCTTCTGGGGCCGGTTCCGCAGCCCGCGAGAGCCGACAGCGGGGCCGTGCCGCAGGTGCCTACTGCCGAGTGCCACAAACACTGCGCCGTCCCGCCATCACCTACAGGCTGTCTTGTGGGATAGTTGGGATGTCCAAACGCCACCATCTTGGCTCTTGCGACCTCAAACCCGCGAGCTGTATGGGTGGTCCTGACGTCGACAGACGCCCGATGACCACGGTGAAGCTGAGCCGGAACGAGTCGACAAGTCTCGTCTGAGCCCGTGGCGGTCGCCGGCTGAGTCGCCGTGCACGGGCCGGTACCTCAGGCGTCACCTCCGCAGCCTCAGGTCTCACACTCCATCACCTCCGACGGGACGCCTTCGGTGTCACGCTCGGCGGCGAGTTTGTGGCAGCCCCACAGCGAGCGCGGCATCGAGCCTACTCGGTCTGGTCGGTCGGCCGCACTCCCTGGGTGCCAGGGAGTGCGGCCGACACGCGAGCGGTACTTCCTGGCGGCGCGCGCCGGCTGTGGGGCTGCCACAAACTCGAGACACGCTTTTTTTGGACATTTTCAGTGTATGTAGCTCTTACGAACATACCCGTAGGTGAACTGCTGACGGGGTTTGCGATGAGGAGCGATCCGAACGTGGTATTCGGGTGATTAGATCACTACCGCCGAAGCGCAAGCGCTTGGAGCAAGGGAACTGCCACGTATGGGTCCCAGACTAGCACCCCACCTCGCGGGCCGACGTTCTGGCTCAGCGAGGCTGCTGCGGAGCACTCGGGGCCGACGTTCTGGCCCAGCGAGGCCGCTGCGGGGCACCCGGCGGCTCGGTTCGCTCATCAGCGCAAACTCGGTCGAGCAGAAAGTAAGGTGTGTGTGTAAAGGCGGCGCGGCACGGTAAGGGTCGGCGGTAAGGCGGCAAGGCGGCGCGGCGGCAGCAGACGGCAGGCAGGACATCGGACGGCGGGACATACGGTACGGCGGGCGCGGCACTGTAGGAGCGGCGGTATGGCGGCACGGCGGTTACGGACGGCAGGGGGTACGGCAGGCTAAACGGCAAGGGCGGCGCGGCACGGAGGAAGGAGCGGCACGGTAAGGAACGGGGGTACGGCAGGCTAAACGGCAAGGGCGGCGCGGCACGGAGGAAGGAGCGACACGGTAAGGAACGGTGGCGCGACGGCAGACCACAGCGGCGAAGGGACGGCGGAGCATTGGACGGCGGGGAAAGGGTCGGCGGTAAGGCGGCGCGGCGGCAGCAGACGGCAGGCAGGACGTCTCGGACGGCGAGACAAACGGCACGGCGTCACGAGGAGGTAGAAAGTCGGGCGCGAGCGGGCGAGGCAGCGGCGAGGCGGCGGGTTGATCACGAGGAAGTAGAAGGTCGAGCGCGAATGTGCGAGCGAGCGGCAGGCGAGCGGCTAGGCGGCGGGGGGGCGAGGCGAGGGTGGCGGCGGTGGATCACGAGGAAGTAGAAGGTCGAGCGCGAACGTGCGAGCGAGCGGCGAGCGAGCGGCTAGGCGGCGGGAGGGCAAGGCGAGGGTGGCGGCGGTGGATCACGAGGAAGTAGGAGGTCGAGCGCGAGCGAGCGAGCGAGCGGCGAGATGGATCACGAGGAAGTAGAAAGTCGGGAGCGGGCGAGCGAACGGCGAGCGAGAGCGGCGAGGCGGCGGGAGGGTGAGGCGAGGGTGGTGGCGGTTCGGATCACGAGGAAGTAGAAAGTCGGGCGGGCGAGCAAGCGGCGAGCGAGCAGCAAGGCGGCGGGAGGGTGAGGCGAGGGTGGATCACGAGGAAGGAGAGATTCGGGCGATCACGAGGAAGTAGAAAGCCAGGCGCGAGCGGGCGAGCGAGCGAGCGAGCGAGCGGCGAGGCGGCGGGAGGGTGAGGCGAGGGTGGTGGCGGGAGGAGGGGGCGAGGGCGAGGGCGGGCGGGCGATAGGCGGGACGACAGGGCGGCGGCCAAGCTGGCGTGGTGGTCGGCGAGAGGCGGCGAGGGCGGGCAGGCGACAAGCGAGACGACAGGGCGGCAGGCAAGCTGGCGTGGCGGTCGGCGGGAGGCGGCGGGAGGTGAAAGGCAAGGGCGATGGCGGGCGGGCGAGAGGCGACAGAGACGACGGGTTGGCGGACGAGCTGGCGGCGGGTCGGCGGGCGGAGGCGGGAGGCGGGAGGCGAGGGCGAGGGCGGGCAGTAGAGCGCGAAGTTGAGACCGCTTGACCTTCGACGGGAAAGTTGCCCACCTGTGGCCAGACCAGTGTGAAGGTGCAGGCCCCTTGCGAGCGGGCGGGCAGGGCGGGCGGGCAGGGCGTGCGGCCGGGAGGGTAGCAGGGGCAGCATCAGCTGCAACAGCAGCAGCAGCAGCAGCACAGGTTAGGTCAGCCGCGCAGAGGGCAGCGAGGCTGAGGTCAAAGAGCGGCAGGATGTTGAGCCACCACCTCGTTGGGAGTCAGCGCTGCAGCAGGCGCCCGCCGTCTGTTGAGCATGTTGAAAGTCAGAGTTATCGGCGTCACATGATGCAGCCGTCAGCGGTCAGAGATCGCCAGGAGCCGCCACGCAGTGCCGGACCCGCGTTTGCGGTGCGACGCCGTCCGAGGCAGGCTCAACGCTCACAAGAGACTCGAGTGGTTTACCAGACTGACACTACAACGCCCAGAGCAATGCCAGACAAGTTTGCGCACAGTGTCGCAGTGCGGTTAGAGTTGTTTGGTATTGCTATACCAATCTCTCTGCTCTCTCTGCCGACTCTCGTCCCCCTCTCAGCCGTCTGCAGTGATCACCGGATACGACACGTGTCGGCGCCACCAGCGTCGCGCTCGGTCTCGCTTCGCCGTTCGCCCGAGAGGCAACGGCAAGCCGCAAACAAATATATCGCATACCACTCGAGGGCGTGTGGCATTTGTGGCATGGGCGCGTATGCATCGTCCTCGTGGCTACTAAACGCTACACCAGCTTTTTCTGCTAGAGGCTAGTTCGTGTCTAGCTCTAGGCTCTGGCTGCCGAGAGTCTGCCAGACATGTGGGCCAGTCAGGCTACAGGCAGTCTCTCGAGCTAGGCACGTCGCGTCTGTACAGACAGTCTGAGTCTCCGCGCAGAGGCCAGAGCTAGCACAGCTGGAGCTGCCAGCTCTCACGACTCCTCCTTGACGGCACCGACTCCCGCCCCCTGCGGCCGCGACGCGACCCCCAGCTCGATGATGCTCGCCGCCATCTCGAGCGCCGCCTCCATCGGCGGCTGGAGCGGCCGTCCGAGTAGCTGCTCCGCCGCCGAGACGTCGTAGTAGCTCTCCTTCTTCCACATCGGAAGCACGCCCGCCGCCTGCTTGTCGAAGAAGGAGTAGAGCCACATCGCCACCCAGGGGATGCGCGCCGTCTTGATCGGCCACCCCGGATGCGCCTCCTTGATCGCGACCGCCAGGTCCGTCATGAGCAGGTTGCCCGCGGCGACGATCAGCCGCTGCCCCGCCGTGGACGGGTCCAGCACCGCCTTGACGTGCGCCTCCGCGACGTCCTGCACGCCGCAGACGTTCATGCCGATGGCGGGCACGGCGGGCATCGAGCCCTCGAGAATGCGCTTCGCCATGGCGGTCGACGTTGGCGAGCGCGGCAGCAGCAGCGGCCCGTTGACAAAGGACGGGTGGATGGTGGTCATCTCGAGGCCGAGTCTGCCAGCAAGCGCCCACGCAGCCTGCGACGGCAGAGGTGGCGCGGTGGCGGCGGCGGAAGAGGCGGCTGGGCGACGTGTGTGGGCGGCGGAAGAGGCGGCAGGGCGGGGTGGGCGGCGGCGGCGGCGTCGGAGGCAGAGGCGGAGGCGGGCCTTTTCGGCTCGCGTCTTGCTGACGGCGTACGAAGACGGCATGGTCTCTGGCGACCAGTCCTCAGCCGTGAACGGCCGGCTCGCAGTTCCCTTGGCCTTGTCCTCCGAGCCGCCGATCGCGGCCACACTCGACGTGAGGACGACCCTCTTCACGCCTGCCGCGGCCGCCGCACGCAGCACCTTGGCGGTGCCCTCGAGAGCAGTCCTCATCTCGTCGTCAGTCACATCGCCACCTGGGAAGGGCGACGCAACGTGAGCGAGGTAGGTGCAGCCCGACATCGCCGCGACCAGCTCCGCCTCGCTGTCGTGGAGTAGATCGACCTTCACGACCTCGAGCCCCGTGAGCACCTTGTCGATGCCATGCGTTGTGCCGCGCACCGTGCCTCTGACCGCGAGGCCTGAGAGCAGCGCCACGCGAGCCACATGGCCTCCGATGAAGCCGGCGACGCCTGTCACAAGAAGCTTAGGCATGGCCTGGGTTCCGGCTCCTACCCGGATATGGGGTCTCGCCAAAACGCCCTACCTACCTACCTATCCCCAGGCCGCGCAGCTAAGCGAAAAAAGATGAAAATAGGGGGTACCTACCTATTGCAGGGCCCTTTTGGGCCAAACAAGACCAACCTACCTACCTATCCGTGGGAGGGGCGAGCGGCCAGTCCCAACAGACCCCCTATCCGGGCGGTAGGAGCCGGAACCCTGTGTCGGCAGAAGGGAACTGTCAGCGCAAAAACATTTCACAGAGAACGAGACAAGGCGGTCACAACAGAAGCTTAAGTCGTCTAAGGGAAACGAAAATACAAAATTAGCCGTTCGCTATTCGAAAAACGACGTGGGGTAAGTGGACAGAGCTGTGTTCACTCTACCGCACAGGCATGGCATAAATAATCTTCGCGGCATCGGACCGCGTGAGCGAGAAACGGCAACGCTTCCGCCATCCCTTGCTTGCCGCGCCCTCGCCGCGCGCCCTCACTTGGCCTTCTTGGTGCGCACCGGCTTCTGAGCCGACACGACCACTGACGGCATCGGAACCAGGTGGGAGCGGCGGCCACCCTGCCAGCGAGTCCCCTTTGCAGCGCCGCCAATCGTCGCCGCAAACTCCTGCGGCACGTGCTCTCCCTGAGGACGCGAGGGGCGGAGCGGGACGGCGGTGAGCGTCGGGACGGGCGGGGGCGGCGGCCTGGGCCTTTGGCGTCGTCCGAGCTCGCCTCCTCTGCCCCCGGCAGGCCGGTCCGCCACGCGCCCGCCGTGGAGCGCGCCTCGCCCTGCACCCACGCGCCGCCAAAGCCTTTGCGCACGCGCGCGGCCACGGCGGCGCGGATCGCCTCGAGCTGGTCTGCGGACTGAAGCTCGAGCAGCGCGCGGGAGCGGGCGGTGGAGGTGGCAAACATCTCGACCAGCTCGTGCTCGTCGCGGAGCGAGACGGAGGAGGGGATGCGCTGCAGGCCGACCGACGCCTTGTCGAAGCCGGCGGCGGCGCACGCGGCCGTCGAGGCCTCGAGGGAGGCGAAGTGGAAGAAGGGGAGCGGCGCGCCGGCCGAGGTGTCGGGCAGGGCCGCCTCCTTGTCGCCGTGCTCGGCGAGGGCGTCGAGGAGGGCGGCGAAGGCGTCGTTGCCGCGCGAGGGCTCCTCCCAGACGGAGAAGGCGAGGCGGCCGCCCGGCTTGAGCACGCGGTGCGCCTCGGCCAGCGCACTCGCCGGGTCTGGGAGGTGGAGGAGGCCGAAGCCGATGACGACGGCGTCGAAGGACTCGTCCGGGAGGGGGAGCGCGGCGGCGTCGCCCTCGAGGAGCGTCACCACCCCGCTCGGGTGCGCCTCGGCCACCGCCCGGGCCTGCTCGAGCATCGCCGCGGAGAAGTCGACCGCCACCACCTCGGAGGCTCCTCGTGCCGCGGCGCCGTCGGCGACCACGCCGGTGCCGGTGGCGACGTCGAGGATGCGCATGCCGCCCTGCGGCGTGACGGGACACGTGATGGAGAGATTGGGCGGAGAGGCGGGGCGAGGGGCGAGGCGAGAGGAGGAGGCGGCGGCCCAGCGCACTTCGCGAGAGACCTCCATCGTCGCGGCGGCGCGGCGCGAGCCGAGGTCGGCGATGCTCTCGCGAGCGGCCATCGCGACACTCATGGCCTTGGTCGTTTCCACGCCCGCCGCGTCGAGGAGAGCGTTGGTCGTCTGGGCAGTGACCTTTGCGAACGAGTCGCGGTACGCGCCGGCGCCCGCCTCCCACATGCGGTGCTCGAGTGCCGAGAACGGGTCGACCGCATGGTCAGGCATGGTGGCGAGCTGGCGACACTGTGTTTGGTCGCGGGCACGGACGCGGGCCGCGCCGAGGAGGCGGGTGCTTCGGGCAGCGCGGAGCATGAATCGCTGTGCACGGCGAGAGCGGGGGGGTGGGGTTCTCGGCGGGCGCCCCAAACCGCCCGTGGGAAGGCAGTCCCCGTGGGAACGCCACCCCCATTAGAGGGAGCACGCCACCTGGCCCACCCCCGCTCCTAATTGCGCACGGGAGCGGTGCACGGGAGCGGTGCGCAGTTTCATATGAACTGCACCGCTCCCAACGGGAGTGGTGCAGGAGTGGTGCAGTCCGGCGCACCTCCGCCGCGCCGAGCGTGGAGCCCTCCACCGAGCCGCAGGCTCGCGCCGACGCGCCAGCGGCATCGTACGGGATGACGGCCGCCTCGCCATGTCGATCTCCGCGCACGCGGCGCGCTCGATCTCCGCGGTCGGCTGCCGCAAAAGCGACTGGCTCACGACATTTTTGCCGGTTGTCGGGTGGGAGAGTACATGTCGTCTGGTGTGTGGCGTGTCCTAGTTTTGATCGCGGCAATAAAGCGGTCGAACGAATAAGCGACCCACTCTTCCCGTGACCTCCGCGCAGCGACGGCTCTTCTCGCACACAGGTCACAGCACGACACGCAGCAGAGTGGCGCAGACGGCAAGATTTTTTCGCCTGGCTTTGAGACTTGAGAGCCACGCGGTGCACCATGACGGACGTTCGAAACCTGCGTGAGCAGCTCTTCTTGCCGCACGTCTCTTCCTGTGCGGTTTGCTGTGCCGCCGCAGTCTGACTCTGTGTCAAGCACGAGACCACGGGAAGAGTGGGTCGCTTTATTGCCGACTAAGAAAACGCAGGCGCCCGGCCCCCTTCGACGGGCTCCACGACGACGCGGGTGATGGGCAAGAAGCAGCCGGAGGCGGACCCTCCAGTGCGCGTCGAGACAACAACGGAGGGAGACGGCAAGACCTTCCCGAGCCACGGCGATGCGCTGACAGTGCACTACACCGGCCGGCTCGCCAAGTCGGACGAGGTCTTCGACAACTCACGCGAGCGCGCGCCCTTCTCCTTCACGCTAGGGGCAGGGACGGTGATTCGGGGCTGGGAGCTCGGCGTCGCCTCCATGAGCCTAGGCCAGCGCGCCACGCTGAGCATCAGCGCTGAGGCAGCCTACGGGCGCAAAGGGTGCGATCAGCGCGGCAACGCCTCTGGCACGGGCTTCATCCCGCCCAACGCCGCGCTGATCTTTGACGTGGAGCTCCTCGACATCAATGACCAGCGTGGCGTGGCGAGCGAGGGCAGGCGAGCGGCTCGTAGCACCTTGAGAGGCGTCCCCAGCTTCTTGGGGAGTTGCAGGCTGCCACCCTCGACACCACGTGCGATGCTTGACCCAGGTTGCTAGCCTACCGCGCGAAGCTCGACGTGTGGCTGCGCGAGAAGCTAGAGCGGTTTGATGCGGAGCCTTCGGTTGGCGCCAAGCAGGCGGCGAAGCACGGCGACCGCGCCGGCTACGAGGCGCATCTCCGATCGCAGGTCGAGGCCAAGTGCGCAGCGGAGCGCGCGAAGCTCGGGCTGCCGCGCTCTGACGCCTCAGCCGTGAGGAAGGGAGAGGCGGAGGCAGGCGGCGGCGGTGCGGAGGGTGGTGGCACAGAGGCTCCCACGTCGCTCTCCTTCGACGCGCGGATCGCGTCCGTCAAGGTGGAGCCGAAGGACGACGAAGACAGCGACGCGAACTTCCCGCGCAATCTGCACAACGCAGCGGAGCTGTTTGCGGCGGCGGGGATGCTGTCCCAGGCGGCGCAGCTGCATGACTGCAGCACAAGGCTGCTCTCTCTGCTCAGCGCGGGGCCAACCGGCCGCCAGTCGCAGCGGATAGGCCGTGCGTGCATCTGCTGGAGCTGCGGCCACGTCGGGCTGCCCTCGAATGCCAGCAGCGTCGTTGAGTCGGGCGCGACCCCGCCCGGCGTCTGCGCAGCGTGCGGCGAGAACGCACAGACCAATTTCGTGCGCGTCGTCTCCGAGGACGGAGCGGTCGTGCCGTGGATCGAGGACGCGGAGACGGCGCCGCGCCCGGAAGGGCAAGGCGAGTGAGCGCGAGCGAGCCTCACACCCCGTATCCGTGGTGTTTTGGGCATCTTTTTGTGTGTGTGGTGTGTACAAATTGCACAAGGACAAGAGTGCAGATAGAGCGAGTCACTGCGCGCGCGCATGACCCCACATGTGTGCATGACGACTGTCACGCTGAGCCTGTGAGAGCCGACAGCCCCGAGAGACACACACCGTAATAGAGCCGTACCGACTGCCACAGTGATATACACTCTATCTTACCCCTATAACACGCACATACCGTATTTCACACAGAGTCTCTACTCAATCCTCGTGCCTCTCCCACAGCACCCTCCGCAGCGCGCCCGCCGCGCGCGCCTGAAACATCTCCGCGTCGAGCGCCTGCAGCGTCGCGCGCGCGTCGGCGGGCAGCACCATGTTCTGCGTGAAGGCGACGCACGTGTCTAGCGCGAGTGTCGTGTGCCACCAGCCGCGCGGGACAAAGACGACGTCGCCCGGCCGCTGGTCAATCCAGAGCGGGGAGACGTCATGACGCGTCCCGGACGTGTCGCCCGGCGAGTCCTGCGGCGCGAGGCGCTGGCGGAACCACTCCGACGCCGCTGGCGCGTCGAGCGAGGCGCCGGCCGCAGCGGTGGAGGAGGCACCGATCGCCACGCCTGGAGGCAGCGCCGCCGACGGCGGGAGCAGGCACCACAGCTTGCGGCCATGCAGCAAGCCTGCAAGTGTACGAGGGGGAGGGGAGCGGGTGGGTGAGGGCGCGCATGCCGCCAGCAGACCCGAGCTTGTCGCCATACTCGCGACGTCTAGGAGCCGCTGCAGCAAGCTACGGCAGGTTGCCGCTCCACGCACTCGTCTCGTGCGGGTCGGTGTTATAGGGGTAAGATAGAGCGTATGCCGTTCCACGCACTCGTCTCGTACGGGTCGGTGTGCCAGCGCGTGCCCGAGCGAGAAGGGCTCACCACGAGCCACTCCCGCTCGTTGAGCAAGTCCACACCGACCTCCAGCGGCGCGGCCTCCGTCCCGCCCCCGTCGCCGCCGCCGCAGCCCTCCCCCCTCGACTCCCTCTGCGCCGCCACAGCCTCCGCCGCCTCGGCGAGTAGATCCTGAGCGAAGGCGTCCGGGACGGCGACGTCGGCCAGCAGCTCGGAAGGAAGCTCGCGCTCGAACAGCACCAACGGCTCTCCATCTGCCCACCGGCCCTTCCCTGGCCCCTCCTCCGCTCCATTGGCCTCCTCCCCGCCGCGCTGGCCAGCCTCGAGCGGGCATCCCACAACTGCGCCGCACGCACCCGCGCCGCCGCCGACGCAGAGCGCCGGCGCCGCCCCCGCCTGCAGCCGTGCGTACGCCACAAAATCGAGGAGCGACATGCGCACGAGGGGTGCCGAGGCGGCGCCCTGGTCGGCGACGGCGAAACTGTGCGGCGCAAAAGCGGCGAGGAGGCCCTCGAGCGCCCAACGCTCGAGCGAGCGCACCTGGGAGGGGGGGGAGGAGTGTGTGTGCGTATCGAGGGGGGGGTGGCCGGCGCATCGGCGCATCTCCGCGCAACCCCGCAGAACAGTGGGACGGGGAAGGGCTCAAAGAGGTGGACCGCACCGGAGGCGTGCCGCGCAGCAATCGAGGCTCGCGCAGCCACGCCGGGCTGGCACGGCGGCGAGGCGCCTCGGGCGGCAACTGGCGCCGACCAGAGAGGAGGCGGGAGAGATCGATTGGGTCACTGGCTGTAGCCTGCTGCTGCTGCTGCTGCTGCTGCTGCTGCTTCCCTGAAGCCTCCTTCCCGCCCTGACCCCGACCAAGCTGCCGCCCCGGCTCCGCCGCCGCCGCCGCCGCAAGGTCCACCTCGTCCTCGACAGCAGCTCGGCCGCCTCGATGCAGCGTCCGCACAGCGCTCAACCGCCTAAGAAGCGGGTCGAGGGCGTGTCGTGGGCGTGTCGTGGGGCGTGGTAGCCTCGCCCGCGAACACAGCCCGCCACGACGTGTCGAAGCGCAGAGTCGGCTCGACGCTCCCCCCCAGCTGGCCCAGCCGCGCGAGGAGCGCCCTCCTACTCTCGGCTCACCTCGGCTCACCTCGGCTGATCTCGGCTGCCACCAGACGCGCGAACAAGGCCCCGCCATAGCGTCGGCTCGTCGACCGCCGCTCGCAGCCCGCGGCTCACGCGCCTATGGGGATGCATCGCCCGCGTCCGCGAGGTCGGCGAGGGCAGGGAGCGGAGGCGCTTTCCCGCGGCAAGCCTCAGCCGCCACAGACCGCGCGGCCCACTCGCTGCCGCAGCAGCCAGCCACGCCCACAGGGGCAGGGCTCGCCACGGCCCCGGCGGCTCGCGCGCCGCAAGCAGCCACGGCGCGGCGCGCAGAGCGGCGAGACCGCGCGGCGCCGCGGCGGCGCGCGCCGCACGCAGCCCCGCGGCGGCATCGGCGGCGGGCCAGTTGGGAGCAAAGGCCGCCGGCAGCGAGGAAGGCTCCGGTGCGCGGCGGCGGTGCCGGTCGGGCGGCGGCTGAGTCGGCGGCGGAAGGTCGGGCCGGATGTCGGACCGCGCGAGCTGCGCCCACGAGGGAAGGCCTGGCCAGTTGCCTTTTCCGTCGTCAGAGAGCGACTCCAGCTGGTGGACCAGGTCGTCGCGAGCGGCGAACGCGGCGAACGGATCGGTCCCGCGCAACGCCTCGCGCGCCCACGCCGCGACGTCCGCGCGCGGGTGGGGTGCGTAGAGGGCTGGCAGCAGCTCGTCGACGGGCATCGCAGCGCTCTGCAGCGGCAGCTCCTGCAGACAGTGCCGAGGACGTGACGCGGACGTGTCGTGGACGTGCCAAAGATGTCGTGCGGCGGGGGCGCCAGCAAGCGGCGCATGCCTCTGCGCGAGAGGGCGTACGCGTGCGCGCACGACGAGAAGCCGGGCACGACGAGCGCCTCGCCCTCGGCGGCGGAGTCGCAAGCGAGGCGGTGCCGGCCGAGGTAGAGCAAGTCCCACGCAACGCCCCGCGCCGCCAGCAGAGAGGCTTGCCGCTGGAGCGTGCCCCAAGCGCGCGCCCAGCCTCGCCGGTTGTCTGCCGCCGACGGGACCTCGCCGCTTGCGCCGGCGACGCTCGCGTCGTCCTCCAAAAAGAGGACGTAGTCGTGTCCGGTCGCCTACGGGAAGGTTCCGGGAAGGTGCACGGAACGCTCCTCCGAGTGAGAGGGCGCAGTCGTGTCCGGTCGCCAGCCCGCCCTCCCACGCGCGCCGGTGCGACGCCGCGCAAGCAACCTCGCGCGCAGAGACGGCGCGCCTGCGGGGCGTGGAGAGGAACGAGCGTCACTCGACGCTGCAACTTTCCCGGCGCGCCCGCGAGAGGTGCGCGCCCGTGGTAGGTGCGCAGCTCTGCGTCTGCGGGGCGGGGCATGCCCATCGCCTCCCACGCGTCACACAGCCGCTCGAGCTGCGCCGCGCCGAGGGCCCACCCCGCGAAGGGGCGCCACGCGCTGCTCCCATCACCGCCGCCGCCGCCCTCACCGCTGATGCGCACGTCCTCGGGGGAGCACGCGTCCACCAGCCGCACCTGCGCGAGGGGGAGGAGCAGTGTCGACAGGTCGCCCTCGCTCAGCTGTCTCGGGCAGATCTCGGGCGGATCTCGGGCAGAGGTCGCCGGGCGGATCTCGGGCGGATCTCGGCCAGCTCCCGCCTCGACTCCGAGCTCGCGCAGCGCCGTGGCGCAGCTCGCCTCGACCCACCGCCGCCGGTCCGCCCGGCTCGCCAAGTTGACCACCGAGGCGGACCCCGCCGGCGGACGGGCGGGCAGCAGCTGGGCGGGCGTCAGCTGGGCGGGCAGCGGGCCAGCCAGCTCGAAGAGGCAGTAGGTGCAGTCCCCGAAGGCGGGCACCGTCGCGGGCGCGTCGCCGCCTCCCCCGCCGCCGCCCGAGCCCGGCGAATACTTTGGCTCAGCCCTAGCCAGGCGGAAGCCCGCCTCCTCGAGGGCGGCCAGCAGGTCCTCCCCTGCGTCGGTGGCGAGCCGCAGCGTGGCCGTGGGCGGCTCGAGCGCGGCCGTGTTCGTCGCGACGAAGAGATGCCGCACTCGCGCCGCCGCCAGCGCCTCGAGCCACCAGCGCACCGCCGCGAGCGGCATCTCCTGCAGAGAGTGCACCGCCACCGCAAGCCGCGGCTGCGCGGCGGCGGCCTCGGCGGGCAGGGCGGCCGGCAGCACGACCTTGGCGCGGGAACAAGGCACGCCGCGGGCGGCGAGGTACGCCTCGCAGAGCGCGAGCGAGAGAGGCACCGCGTCGGTGGCGAGGAGGCGGAGGTGCGGCAGCGCAGCGGCCGCGCGGTGCTCCAGCCGGCCGTACCCGGCGCCGAGGTCGACGACCGCCGTGCCGAGCGGCCACGAGGAGCAGCCGAGCCGGCTCTCGAGGAAGGCGAGCTCGTTCGCAGAGTCGAGCAGGTCGCGGCTCACGGTCACGGTCTGCCCACTGCCGCCAGCCGCAGGCACGCTCACCGTGAAGGCGCCGAACAGGCCATCCTCGCCGCCGGCACCACACAGCATCGCCGGCCCGCCCGGTCGAGCCAGCACGCGCTCGAGCGCCGCAGAGTACTGGCTCGGCTCAGCAAGTTGCCACAGGTACGGTGAGTCGGCTCGGCAGCGCTCAACCTCGACCGCCGCCGTGACGCTGTCGTCCCAGAGTGGCTCGCCGCATCCGCCATGCGTTCCTGCGCCGTAACCGGACGGCGATGCGAGCGCCTCTCGGAGCTCGGCCTCGCGCTGCCGCACGGCGCTCTCGCGCATATGGATTCGGTCTTCTGAAGCCTGGGTTCCGGAAGCTACCGGATAGGGGGTCTGAGTGCTGACTCGCGCCAAAACGCCCTACCTACCTACCTATCCCCAGGCCGCGCAGCTAAGCGAAAAAAGATGAAAATTGGGGGTACGTACCTATTGCAGGGCCCTTTTGGGCCAAACAAGACCAACCTACAATACACCTAAAACCTACCTACCTATCTGGGAGGGGCCAGCCAGTCTGGAAGATACGAGGAGACGGAGGAGTCGATCGCGCGCGCGGTGAAGATTTTGCGCGCAACCTCCGCTCCTCGGCATCCCGCTCGGAGGCACGCTGGTCCTCTCAAGTCGACGACCCCGCCCGTCGGACGTGGTCCCGATCAAATCTTCAAAAAGTGAGAAGAACCCCCCCCCAACAACAAGAAGGGGACGACACTGCTTTGACCCCCCCCAATGAACACACCAGTGAGGGTGGGCGAGACGATCGAGGGGTCCCGTACCATGCGGAACCGACCCTATCCTCAAAAATCCAGTTCTCAAGTGCTCAATAAGAAGAAATCGTGGCCCTCCCGTGTTGCCGCGCCAAAGCCACATCTGACGATGGCGCCCAAGCGCCAGAGGCAGGCTGCACCAAAGAAGGCCTCCCCAGCACAGGCCGCTCCAGCGCCAGACATCCGCGAGCTCCTCAAGCGCTGCAGCCGCTCCTCGCTCGAGTCGCTGCTGGTCTCAAAGTTCGATGGCGGTTTCCTCTCCGTCGAAGAGGTCGAGGCGCAGCTCGTGCCCACCGCTCCCCCTTCGCGCGCCATGCTGTCGGGGACGGAGCGCGTCGGGACCGGCGCGTTTGACGAGCTCGATTGCGACGTCTTCACAGCCATCGTCACGGAGCTGGACTTGCGAGACCGACTCCAGGTCGCCACGTGCGTGTGCAAGGGATGGCGATTTCTCAAGGACGTCTCGCACCTCTGGACCTCCATGCGGGTGGCTGGCTCCTCCTCCGAGTCTTCGTGGCGCGACCGGGGATCGCACGACCGTGTCACCGTGAGCAACAGCGGGCTGACGCGGCTGCTCGATTGGGTCGGCGCCGCGAGCCTGACCGAACTCCGCCTCCACACGGGCGACGCGGCCCTTCAGCCCTGGACAGTGACCAGCACGCTGTCTGCCGTGCCGGCGATCAAGGTTCTGCACCTCGGCGGGAAGAAGGTCAACGCAGCGGTGATGGAGGCGACCGCCAAGGCGGCCTTTGCGCCGACGCTCCGCGAGATCCACATCGGCGAGGACGTGGCGGGGTCAGAGGCGCGGATCCTCAGCATGCTGCAGGAGATGCCTGCCCTCGAGTCCCTCTCCGTGCCGCGTGGCCGCGTCAGCGCGCCGATGCTGCGCACGCTGGCGGCCGCGTGGCGCACCAAGAGGAACGGCGGCCCGCCTCTGCTGTCGAAGCTGACCCTGGCGACTTCCTGGGGCCAGTTCGAGTGGGAGCTCGTCTGCTGCGTCGGCTCGCTCTTCCCGGAGCTGGAGGAGCTGACCGTCGACTCCCTCTCGGTCGGGCTTGACGTCCCGCTCAGCTCCAACGAGGACAACGCAGCCTGGCGCGACTATCAGGCGCAGCCGAAGGTGCGCGGCGCCGTGGATGCGATGCCGAGGCTCGTGCGCCTGCGTCTGCAGCGCTTCTGCGGCTACGACTTCTACGCGTGCTCGAGCGAAGTCGCCGCGTGCCTGCGCGCCGTGCTCCGCGCGGCGCCAGCCCTCGAGACGCTTCTCGTCTTGGGGGGCGAGCTCACGAGCACGCGCAACAGGGCGGACAAGACGCTGCCGCGCCCGACCGACGCGGCGGGCGCCTCGCTCGAGCTGCTGCCGCCCTCGCTGCAAGAGCTCGTCCTGTCGGACCTCGACCTGGCGCCCGACGACTTCGGAATCGCACCCTCCCTCCCCGCGCTGCGCCGGCTGCAGCTCGGCAACTGCGGCGCGCGCGCCGCCAACGTCGCGGCGGCGCTGGTGCGCGAGTGCCCGAAGCTCAAGGATGCCGTCGTCGAGTCCGCGCCCGTCAAGCGCCGCGGAGCCGACTGATGCCTCCGGGCGCTGAGGTGGCGAGGAGCACCGCCTGAAGAGTGGTTTGTGGAACGCTCGAGGCCGTATCCCCGGACCCCGCTCCGGCCTCAGAGAGGCGGTACACGCACTGGCACCGGCCTGAAAACACGCACAGCAGAAGAGGGAACGTGAGGTTATGCATAGTGTACTGCGTACGTGTCTCGGTGCGTGTCTGGAGGACGTGAGGTTCTACGCTACAGTATTGGAGTCTATCCTCTGCAACCCCCGTCCCGCTGGCGCGCTGCCCAGTGACGGTACGCTCTAGGCCGCGTCACAACGCGCCGAGGCGAGACGGTTACACCCGCGACGAACGCGCGCTCGCGCGCTCGTACGACACCCCAGAGCGACACGGGGTCGCACGGACGCACGGACACAACGAAAAAAGAGAAATTTCGTAAATCCGTAAATGCAAAAAATATGATGGCGAAAAGAAATAAAATGCGCGAGAAAAACGCGAAAAGCGGCGGCACAACCGCCACGCCCTCGGATCGAACTCGGCTACCGCGTACCGGGCCGGTAGCCCGCGTCTGACGCTCGTAGACGCATGTGAGCATGAATGCAGGCAGGGTCTCAGGCCCTGCACCGCCGCCCGCGCGACCCCGCGACCCGCGTGACGCTCATAAGGAGCTAGACCACGCGAAGGTTGTCCGCCTTGATCTTATGGCTTCCGTTGCCCTCGATCGAAACGATCAAGCGGCCTGACTCATCGTCCCGCCGAAGCACCGTGCCATAGAGCCCGTTGAGCGCCGCGCCCGCCGCGCTGCAGAGGCCGTGGAGCACCACGCGCGCGCCGAGCTTCACTCGGGCGGGCGCGGAGGAGCTCGAAGGCGCGGAGGCGCTCGACGCTGCCGACGAGCTGCTGGAGGAGGGGCGGCCACCCCGCCCGCTGGAGGAGGAGGAAGCGGAGGAGGAGGAGGGGCGGCTGCTGCCAAAGCGAGGCACGCCCGGCGCGGGAGGCGCGGCGCTGCTTATGGGGCGGCCATTATGGCGGCTGCGGCAAGGCTGCGAGCAAAAGCGGCCCGAGCCATAGCCGCCGTCGTGGGCGGCGCCGCACTCCTGGCAGCGCCCGTGCGACGGCTGCCGCGGCGCCGCCGGGCCCTTGCCCTTGCCAGCCTGCTTGCCCCTGCCGAGGCTGTGCAAGTCGGGCTTGAGGTCGGGCTTGAGGTCGGGCTTGCCGTCGGCGTCGTCGGCGCCGCGGATGTCCATCTCGATCGCCTGCACCCGCGCCGCGCCGCCATGCGTCATGTGGATGCCTATATGGTGGGGCAAGCCCAGGATGACACCGCCGGGCACTGCGCCTCTGATATCCCGGCAGAGGGCTGCCGACAAGTCTCGTCTCTGTCCCATCCGCCCGCTGGCAGCGCACGCGCACGACCCGCATCTGCTGCACCAACTGGAAGCCACCGCCGCTCGTTCGGACGGTCTTGGACAAGACCCGCTGCTGTATCGTCGACCAGAACGGCAGCACGGCGCCGCAGACCAGGTGTTCCGTCTGCATCCGCTTGCCAACGAAGCACTGAAGGTCGCGGCACTTGTGGCCGTGCGTGCACTTGTCGCGCGTGGCGTCGTGCAGCCTGGTCCACGGCCCTCGAGCGCCGTTTGAGCTGAGCGGGAGGTTCGAGTTGAGATGCTCGCGTAGGAACGTGCGCCCACAGAGGCCTGCAGCATCGGGTGAGGCGCGGGCGGGTGGCGTGGAGGGAGGGGCGAGGAGCGCCAGAGTCCCTGGCAGCGCGCCTTGGTTGGGTCGGTAGATCTTGAAGGTCGGGATCCAGTTGCTGGCGGCAAAGACCGAGACCCGCTCGCGCAGCAGGAGGGTCACGCCCTTGCAGCCGTTGCCGAACTTGAAGTTGCGCGAGATGTAGAATCCCTCGCCCTCGAGCAGCGCCCCGGCCTCGTTGCCCTCCGCCTTGGCGCGCAGCATCTCCGACGCGCGCTCAAAGGAGAGCCCGCGATCGACTCCGAGCGCGTAGTGGGAGAGGGGCACGCCCGACTGCCGGTCGGTGGAGATGGTGCGAGGCGAGCCGGACTTGACACTGACGGACTCGCCGCGGATGTCGACGACGCCATCGTCGTACCTGTCGGGGGAGGTGACACAGTGCTCGGGGGTTGATCGATGGGATAGGAGTGGGTTGCAAGGTGGCGCTACCTGCCCGCCGCCTTGGCCGCCTTGACGTTCTCGTCGAGGATCGCCGTGTAGTGCTGGAAGATTGTGTTCTGCATGCGGACCGGCATGCCGAGCAGCCGGTTGAGGAAGCGCCGCACGGAGAGGTTCTCCATGCCGAAGATGCCCGCCGACGCCATCGCCTCCTCCGCCTCGTCGATGTATTCGCTCCACTTTTGTTGCAGCTCGTGGGTGGCGCGCAGGCCGATGGCGCGCCGGATGTGGCCCGGCGGGACGATGCTCGCGTTGTGGATTGGGTTCTCGAACACCTCGATGAGGTCGGTCAGCGCGGCCTGGCCGTACTCTGTGTCAACGTCGAAGGCGGACAGGTTTTCCTGCTGCCCGTCGGCGCCGCGCCGATCCCCCTTTGTTATCGCGCCGAGCTGCTGCAGCCGCTTGGCGACCGTCGATGCGAAGCGGCGCTCGCCGCCGCAGGCCGTCATCATGAGCAGGTACTCGGGACCGTGGACTTGGTTCGAGCGGTGAGTGCGGCCGCACTGCTGGATGCACTGCAACGGAGGCGAGGGAGGCGGAGAGTGAGAGGCGCGGGGGGGGGGGGGGGGGAAAGCAATCCGCGGTAAAAATCCCGGGGGGGAAAGGGGGGGGGGGGGGAAACCCCCCCCCGGGAAAAATGGGAAAGGGGGGGGGCGGGGCAAGAACCAAAGCCCCCGGGAAAAACCCCCAAAAAAAAAAGGAGGGAGGGGGGGGGGCCTCTCCTTGTTGGGGGACCCCCGCAGCTTCAGGGGGATTTGCACCCCCTTTTCGGGGTTTTGAACCCCCCCGGCCCCCTTTGGGGAAATACCCCAAAAAGCCCCCCCCCAAA